GGAGTGGTCGGCGATGAGGTTACAAGTGGTTATAGCACTAACTTACCTCAGCTGTTAGACAGATGACCTCGTAGCCGTTGAGGAGATAACGTAGAGGAAATAGAAATTGGAAGTTCTTGGAAGAATAGAGGAAGCTAGAAAGGTCGATGGGCGACATTGGACGGCAGTAGGAGGGCCTTTAGCGGGCTAACCGATTCAGACAGGGCTAGGAGAACTAGCAAGGAGGACGAAGAGAGACGCTAAGAGACTCTTGAGGAGTGTCACGGGTGAACTGCAGATCTGGAGAGGCACGACCTTGTTGGTCGATCCCGAAGGAGAGGTTTACTTAGACACAGGGATTCTTGGGATAGAGGAATAACACGAGATTTGCGGCCGGTACGGGTTGCTGGAGGTGGTAATCAAGGCAATTGAGAGCTAAGTTTGGAGGCGGACGCGAGCCGTGACAAGGAAACAGGTCCGGGCTGCCACAACTGTCACAGGTCCGGGCTGCAGCGACTGTCATAGGGTCGGGTTGTAACAGTTGGCAAAGAAACCTAACTGCGTCTTCACACGGTCCAATGGAATCCGACACGATGGGGCCACAACCGACCGTGGGCGAAGCGGGAGAGGAGTATAGGACATCGCCCGACCAAGCTCTGAGAGAACTGAAGGAACGATTAAGGCAAGAAGCACCGCTGAGATGGGATGACCAAACCAATGACGGAGGGCCCAACGTAAGAGGCGAACCAGTTGCGACAGAGCCGGAGGAGGCTCTAAAGACGGGTACCTTTAGCGGACGACGAGAAACGACGAGACGACGCTCCCCCGAGTAGGAGCGGAGGGACACCATAGCGGATAGGCACAGAGACGACTGGAGAGAGAGTTTGAGGGATTCCTGTTGGAGGGACAGAGATAGAGACAGGGCGCCCCCCAGGCGAGTCTTCGACCCCCAAACAGGGGAGTCACATCCGCTCCCTTACGAGAGCAAGGATCGCTATATTATTACGCACAAGGCCTCAGAGCCTCCTACCTTCAGGGGTTATGGTATCATAAAATATCTGGAGAAGTGGGAGCTTCACGCCAGCCGGAGTCAGTGGTCGGAGGAAGAGATTATAAAGAACTTCCTATTTAATGTGGACCCAAGTATTGGAAGGGAAGTTAAGGAATTTCAACCGAAGGATGGGAAATGAACTACGTACAAGAAGAACCTCGTTGAGCTTTACAAATTGGAGGATAACAAGTATTCCATTAAAGAYCTTGAAACAATGACTCAAGATGAAGATGAGAGCGTACGGGCATTTGGGATGCGTTTCCAAAAGATCTCCGACGTGCTGATGAAGAAGGGGAAAATCTCAGAGGTCGAGCGCTGTACTATCTTCATCGGACACTTGTCCAAAGGTAGGCAAAAGAGTATACTTTGAGATCTTCCGCGCGACAGGCTTGATTTCCCAGAAGTCCTAAAGCTCGCGATAAAGGCAGAGGCAGACGATTACAAGGACTTGGTGTGGAGAGGGATGAGGAGACGTGACTTCTCTCTCTACAAGGAGTATGTCACTGATAGATGTCCTGATTTCAAGGACTATCCCTGGTCGGAGAAGAATGAGGGCGTGGTTGAGGAAGTGAAGGAGATACGGGACATGGTGAAGGGATTAACGAGACAGGTTACAGAGATTGTGACCGATACAGGGGCCACGACCTACCGGGACAAACCTGGAGGGCCCTATTCACTTCGCTGGGACCGTAGGAACAACGATCCCTGGAGAAGTGTCGAGGATAGAAATCCTCGGACGCTGACTAATTATCGTACGAGGGGAAGAGAGAGAGACGATGAGCCATGGCGACGTAGGGATGATGAGATAGACCGRGACCGTAGAGATCGCGAGCCGTTTGTGCGAGCTAGGAGGTTGGATGATTACCCGCGAAGCCCTCGCTATGAGGCCGATCGGGGGAGAGGCGACTCCCGCTGCCGATGGGAGACAGAAGAGAGCCGATGAGATGGATATAGGGACGAAAGATATGAGAGATCGGACCGAGATGAATATAGGGACGACAGATACGAGAAGTCGGGTCGAGAGGGCTACAGAGGAAGTAGATATGAGAGAGGAGATCAGGAATGGGAACGACAAGATGGGTCGCGCGGACGGTTTGAGCGTGGGGGAGATGCGAGAGAGCACCGCGACGAGTCGGCGCGACGAGTCGCGGGGGTGGTACAACCGAGGGAACCGACGCGATAAGCCACGAGGACGATATAACTCGGGGGACCGCCGGGATGATTCGCGAGGGCGGTATGACCAAGGAGGGTTTGGAGGACACTGGCGCAACGATCCGCGCGGTCAGAATGAGAGAGGGGGATATGGCGTCTCATCAGAACCATATCCCAAGTCGCCTGACCCCAAGGCGGCCAGGAAATCGATCTCTAGAGGCGCAGACGACAGGGCATCTACTCCGAGGAACTCATGCGTCTACTGTAGAGGAGAAGATCATATCAAGAGGGATTGCCCGGACCTCAAACGGGCAATAGAATAGGGATTTGTCGTGCTTGACGACCGCATATACGTCAAGTGGGCAGATGATCTCGGAGATGTATCGATGTTCCCTTCGATGAAGGAGAATGTCGAAGCAAGGAGAATAAAGACGAGTAAAGGAATGGAGCCGGTCAGGAGCCAGAGCATCAAGATAACCTTTAAGGGGGACATGGCGACCACACCCATAAGGGTGGCAGCCACCAAGTCGGCGAGAGGGTTTACATCGAAGAAAACTGACACGGATTACGTGATGGCGGAGAAGGACGGGCAGCGGGTCGATGGAGAGGAGATTATCCTTTCGCCGCGAAAGCGAGGAGTGAAGAAGTTCTTAATGAAGAGTTCGCTGGACGAGATTTACACGGTCGAGCCACTGAGGCGGGCCCTTCGGCAACCCATGCATTGCTCTATTCTGGAGTACCTGGCGGCATCGAAGCCATCTCGTGATGAGTTACAGATGATCACGCGGAAGACTTGCATACCTCTACCGGAGGAGGGTCAGGGGGCCCCTAAGGCGGAAGCTTCTACAGTAGCAGTAAAGGGGGTGACTGCCCGAGCGGATCGCATGACGACAGTCCTTCTCGATGGAATGGAAGGTGTGCCTCCAGACAAGTTTTATATACTTGGTAGCGGGGCCGTGGAGACGATTATAAACGATGGAGCGGTACTCGATACTGTGATTGATAACGACAGTGAGGCTGTCATCATAGACGAGGACCTGGCGGTACAACTTGGACTGGGCCTCGATAGGTCATACCTATTCGAGATAGAGACAGTCGATGGGAGAAAGCAACAGATCACTGGGGTTTGTCACAAGGCAGCCATAGAGGTCCAAGGGATACGAGTGACCCTGCCAGTCTTTGCAGTCAAGAACTGCAGCTCCGACCTGCTCTTGGGTAGAACGTGGCTGAGCCACGTGCATGCGGTGACGATAGAGCGACCTGATGAGAGTCAAACATTGTCCATTAAGAAACCAGACGGGACGCGGGTAATGATTGAGACAGTGGAGCCTCGGGCCCGAGGAACAGAGCAAGACCCAGTGATCAGATTAAGTCGTTGCCTATCTCCAGCCGCGCGGTGCGATTTCGCGAGAAGAAATATGGACCACTGCTCACAGAGGAAGAAGGTCAGATGGTGGAGGTCGAAGACTTAGGGAGTCGGCTAATAGTGGACGGCAACTCGTACCCGAAGGAAAAAAATGAGGAATTTGACGGTGTGGTATCTGTGTCTTTTTTAAGGGCACAGCCCCCTATGGRGGGCTACCCAAGCGACACAAACGAGCARCRCAAAAAGTTAAGCCAGCGGCGGTGGGCCGCGAGCGATCTGCACAAGAAGGGATATCGGAAGAAGAGATCGCAAAATAAATCAAAGAAAGAAAGAAAAACGAGCCGCAACGCCTAACGGAAGAGAGGATAGCAGGGATGGACATCGGATATGGAAATTTGACCCCACAGGAGCGAGCACGTGTGATAGAAATTCTGAAGAGATGTGATAAGGCCATAGCTTTCAGCGACGTGGAGCGCGGTAGAATTGACCCTCGATACGCTAAGCCAGCGAGGATTTATACGATTCCACATGTTCCTTGGAATGACGCGGGATGGAGATACGCCCAGAAGGAGAAGGAAGAAGTTATCGCTTTCTTGAAAGAAAAGATGGTTTCCCACGTTGCGAAGCCGTCTGATAGCGTTTATGCTAATCGATGGTTCTTCCTACGAAAGCCGAATGGCAAGATTCGATGGATCCAGGACCTTCGGAAGGTCAACGCGGTGACGATACGAGACGTGGGCTCCGTGCCACACGCCGATTTACTGGCAGAAGGCGCAGCAGGTAGGTCGATCTATTCGGTCTGTGATCTGTTCTCAGGCTATGATGAGGTACCGCTTGATCCTAGGGACAGACACCTCACGGCTATGCATTCGCCATTGGGACTAATTCAAATGATGGTTGTCCCAATGGGTTGGACTAATGGGGTAACCGTTTTTAAGAGAGTCATGGTAGCCGTCCTCAAGGACTTCATCCCTGATAAGGTCGAAGTTTTTCTGGATGACTTTCCTATTAAAGGGCTAGTAGACAGGGATGAGACAGAGGTTGTACCTGGAGTTAGGAGATTCGTCGAGCAGCACCTAACAGATATTTGCGCGGTCCTCGAGCAGCTGGACGATGCGAATTTAACAGTCAGCGGAACAAAGAGTCGATGTGTCGTCTCGACTATTAAGATCTTGGGCTTTATCAGTGACTCGAGAGGACGCCGAGCAGATCCGACAAAGTTAGACAAACTCATGAACTGACCGTCACCGTTACATAGCCCAACCGAGGTCCGACAGTTTCTGGGAGTGGTCGGTTACTGGCGTATATTCATACGGGGGTATGCGGAGAAGGCTGAGCCATTGAGGTTACTCCTTCGAAAGACTGAGAACTTCTATTGGAATTCTTCGCAGGAACTTGCTATGAAAGAACTTAAAGACGAATTTAAGGAAGGAGGACGCGTGTTGGGTGTGCCATTCTTTGACGATGAGACCGAGAGACCCTTCATAGTATCCACGGRTGCTGGACCAKGTTCAKTGGGTGGTTTGCTGTCTCAGAAGGACGCTGGAGGGAAGGAAAGACCGTTAAGATTTGAGAGTCTGACACTTAATACGGCTGAGCGTAACTACAGTCAATTCAAGAAGGAAGTGTTAGCTCTTCTCCGGTGTCTAGACACGTTCAGACACTAGATCTATGGGCGACGGTTCATCTTGAGAGTGAACCCCACCGCAGTTGCCTCTGTCCTCCAGAAGGACTTTAGTCTGACGGAGCCGACCATCGCCCGATGGTTAATACGAATTCGACTATACGATTACACGGTCGAGAGAATATCTGGTACTAAAAATGCTGTGGCAGATGGACTTTCACGCATCCCTCTCGAGCGTCCGATAGTAGCTGGGGCTCTGACAATGGCAGAGCCGAGACGCGCCGAGAGATTTCTAGTTAATCTTTACGAGGGCAAGTACCGAATGATCGGACTACACCTGACGGGAAAGGAGAGTCAAGATTCAGATATCCGGAGGCAAGCATCCCAGTACTGCGTTAGAGCGGGCCACCTTTTCCGAAGGCCAGTAGGGTCGGGAATGCCCTTACGAGTAGTCTGTGATCCTGAGGAGAGACAAATGATAGTTGCGGAACTTCACGACGGGGTAGTCGGAGGACACAGGGGAGTTAAAGGAACCTACGAAAAGATACGCCGGCTGTACTGGTGGGAAAGGAAGTATAAGGACGTCGAGAGGTACTGTATGACATGCGAAGAGTGTGAGAAGAGAGCTCTTGTGAAATACAAAGAGCCACTTCATTCATCCTATCCGACCAGACCAGGAGAGAAGGTACACATCGATCTAGTGAAAATGCCGAAAGGGGTAGGCAATATGAACTACGTCGTGAACATACGAGACGATTTCGCTGGGTTCGTGGACGGTAGACCTATCAGGAGTAAGGCGGCAAAGGAAGTAAAGAACTTTATCCTAGAGTACTTATCTAGGTATGGTTGTATCAGCAAGATAGTGATGGACAAAGGGGCGGAATTCCTAGCCGACGAGGTCCAGAGCGTGTTTAGGAGAGCCGGTGCGAGAGTTTCGATAGCCACCGCCTATCACCCACAGTTGAACTCCCCAGTAGAGAGGGGACACCAGACTCTGATAGCGTCACTGTCCAAGTGGTGCAAGGGTAAGGACAGTGATTGGCCACGATATTTTCGATACGCGATATGGGCGGACAACGTCACGGTCGGGGCGAGTACCGGATACCCACCATACACCTTGTGGTTTGGACGACATTGTCCGCTTCCCATAGAGTTTCACGTCGACAGCTGGACAACCGTCGACTGGGCGGAGGAGATGTCCAGAGAGGAACTCTTAGTAGCCCGAACTCTTAGCAGCCCGAACGAGACCAATAGCCTACGGTTTGGAAGATGACCTCATGACAGCGGCAGATCGTCTGGTAGTGGAAAGGAACAAGGGTAAAGMGAGATGGGATAAGAACGTGCGAATCAGGAAAGAGAGGGTGAGCGTAGGAGATATGGTCCTTCTCTACGATGCAGCGCTGGAAAGGACGTGGACCGGAAAGCTTGCTAATAGATGGATGGGATCTTACAGAGTGGTTGAGGCACTCGATTGGGGTGCATATATGATAGCAGAATTAGACGGATCCAAGTGGAAGGACCCAGTGGCAGGTGCTAGGTTAAAGTTGTTTAGGCCCAGGCCCACGCCCGCCTTATCACTGACCAGCCCGATAGGGAAAGGGAAAGCCATAATGGAGGATGGAGCCCCCTTGAGGCAATTCGAGGCAGGAAAGAGTTCCAAGAAAAGGAAAAGAATAGAGAAGAGAAAGGTCAAAGGGTTAGCTTTGGGAAGAGAGAAGAGATGGTTATTCGTCCTCAAGCGAGCTAGACGGAGAATTCGGGTTAGACGTACTGGCGGGTCGACACCCTTCTCGGGGCAAAGACAGAAAAAAAAGAGGATCGTGCCGGGGCCAAGAACCAGAAGAAACAGGAGAGTCAAGAAGCATCTTCTTAGCCCCAGGACTCATAACAAACTGAAACATAAGACAATTGAGCGCCGACGTGGGCGTCCTTTACGGAGTATCACCCTGAAGCTCGTCCGCTTCGTCTGACGTAAGTTGCAAGGGGCTCGACGGGGGCGTCGAGAAGTGGTCCGGGCTAACTGTCAAGCGGCCACAAGCAGTGCGCCGCCTGAGATGTGCAGTTTTGGGACTTAGGCTCAGGGACAAATCCGTGTTTTGATGGTAGTCTTGTATGACCAGGC